CAAGCTATAATATTTAGAAAAAGAGTAAGTTACTGAGAATAGGTATAGTATGGGCTTATTTACAACAATATATGATTTATACTTATGCTGTATATGTACAAAGAAAATTTCTAGAATGTTACACAGAACCATTGAAAATGAGTATCTCCGAGATAGCTCTGGACTCTCTCAATTTTTATTACAGCAATTATTTTCTAATTTTATAGTAATTAAAAGCAAACAAACATAATCTTTTAAAAAAGTGAATATGTTGCTTTTGAAAATGGAATTTAATATTCTGGGAATAAAATTATGGGGCAGAATAGTAAAACAAAACAAGTGGGTTCAACTAATGTTTGTTCAACAAAGATTTAGGAAGCGCCTACTTTGCATGAAGTACTAAACTGAGAGTTTAGCCTGTGGAACAGGTAATACTTGATAAATGCTAAAAATAGAGGTTCAGACATTTCTGCTAAAGGTTAAATGTTCTTAATTAAAATCAGATGAAATGAAGACTGTTGGTGAACACTGTTTTTGCTACATGATTGTTATGCCACCGACCTAGAAACTAGCACCAGATGCAGGAAAAAATGCTAAGGTTTGTGAATTTGGCTACACCATTTTGTTGGCTTTGTGCTTTGGTTGTCATAATATAGCTGCTGAACGTCTTGGGGATATGTGAGATAATGCTCACGATGACAGGAGAAGAGCCTGTATTCCTGAGCAAAAACTAGATTTGATCAAATGCCATATTTACCAGTGCTAATTTATGTTTTGTTGCTTTAAAGGCAGTGATTTTATGAAGAAGTTTGTAGTTTCATGGAGGCATGCAGACCCCTATAATTCACATGGCCAAACCCATTTTCTAGGGTTTGGCCATGTGAATTATACCAATCTACTTGGGAATTGTGGCTGTTTTCTATTAGAGAGTCTGTGATTCTTCAAAATCTTGTGATTTCATTGAGCTCAAGACATTTGAGGAATGGGAAATAACTGCAGTATCCAGTTGGCATTAGCTGTTTGAATTTGAATACCCATACAGTTAGTTGTGCTGTTAATACTTGTTTTAAAAACATGAATTTATTGCGATACCATTGATATATTAGGAAGCAATTTGAGCATAAATGAATTTCATGTTTGCGTTATCCATGATTTTGCCAGCAAGAAACACCAGGTGAACACAGAATACTGCACACAGTTGTACTGAACCCAGCAGGAACACACAAAATGGAGACATGTACATACCTGGAATAGCTACCAGCTACCTCAGTTCGCCGCAAGTTATGAGCTACACCCCCCCGCATCGTGTCATACCTTTCCTTCTGATTTCAAATCACCTTCTTTCAAGCACCCATGATTAATTAAAAAGCTACAGTCTTTTAAATGCCTATATCTATAAGTACATTTCAGGATTTTTTTCAAGGTGAGGTGCCATATTTATGTTTCCTAACCATTTAGCATGTATAAAAATGCCATGGTTTTTATTAGGTTTCTAGTGTGTGTGTGTGTGTGTGTGTGTGTGTGTGTGTCTGTGTGTGTGTGTGTGTATCACTGACAAAAGTTTGAGGTTTTGTGCCCCTAACTGCATTTCCCCCATAAGCCCTTGTTTGTGCAATTTTTGCATAGTATAGTGATTTTTAGGAACTGAGGTATTTCCTTATAGTAAAACTGATTGTATCTCTTTGAACAAATTTATGCTGGTCTTTTTTCCTTTTCATTTTAAGTTTCTGTAGTGCATCTGATTTGCAATAGTTGAACAAACACCCCGCCCCCCAGACAAATGAATAATGGAAATCTTATTTTTCCTTTTGTTGCAGGTGACCCATTGTACCAAGTTAAACCAACTTCTCTAGTTCCTTATTGGCAGTTGGTTAGCCCTTCATGTGTCCTAGTGCATTGGGTGATTTTTCTAAGTTAAATTTTTGTGAAGGGCTGCATCTTGAGATAAGGTCCCAAATGCCTTATGTTGAACTCCTTTGGACTTCTCTAGACTTCTGTGACTTAAGGTTCATTACATTGCTAATCATCTATGTTTATTATTATATGAAGGAAGCCTTGCACCAAGTTTGTAGCGTGAAGTAAGTACATAGGTATAAACTGCATGTGATTGAAAACCAAGTATTATTTGGAAGTGAATTACCTGTTTTAAAAAAAAGCTTAGTCGTCTTTTTTGAGGATTTTTGTTTACTCCAGTGATGATTTAGGTTAAAGTAAATCTTTCATTGAATGCTGAAGTTCCTTTTTGAGGTTCTAACATGATATGTAGGAATAAAGGAGTTACAAATCTATAATTGCTTTCTTTACATCTGACTTAAAATGCTTTCTTGTGCCTAGATTCTGTTCCTTATTCTAGTTTACTCAGTAATTGCACTTGGAATTATTTGTGTAAAAATATGAGACACAGGAATGTATATTTTGACTTGAATATTTGCTTTAAGGTTTTCCTTGTGTAAGGACAAATTTTTATTCTGATTTTGCCACATAGGAATTCAACTTTAAGTTGAAACTTAAGACTTTGTGACTCCCTCTCTCCCTCTTTCTTTTCTCCTTTCCTTTCCTTCTCCTTCCCCTCTCCTTTCTTTTCTCTTCTTTTTTCTAGACAAGGTCCCCCTCCCTCTATTGCCTAGGATGGAGTACAGTGGTGCAGTGATGGCTCACTGCAGTCTTGACCTCCCAGGCTCAAGTGATCCTCCTACCTCAGCCTCCTAGTAGCTGGGACCACAGGCATGCACCATGATGGCCAGCTAATTTTTAAAATTTTTTTGTAGAGATGAGGTCTCATTATATTGCCCAGGCTGGTCTTGAACTCCTGGGCTCAAGTGATCATCCTGCTTTGGCCTCCCAAAGCACTGGGATTACAGGCATGAACCACCATGCCTGGTTAAGATTTCTTTAATTTTCTCTTTGAAAGAAAGTATCTTAGGCAATAGTACATGCATCTGGCAAAGAGGGGCATTACTATGGTGACCCTAAAATCAATTCTTCACTTCTTCATTCATTCATTCTTCATAGAACAAATATTTGTTAGGTGCCTAAAATGTGTTACATCATTTTAGGTGCTGGAGAATATAGTGATTAGCAAAAATACAGCCTTTCCTCTCACAATCTAGTGGGGGAAATGGACTTTAATTAATGACCAAAATATATACTTACAAATTGTGATAAGTGCTGTGAAGAAAGTTTGCAAGCTCCTTCGAAAGAGAAAAACAAGGGGACCCAATTTGGATAAGTGATTTAAAAAGGACCTTTCTGAAGGAGAGACATTTAAACTGAAGTCTACAGGATAAGGAGTTTACTGGAAGGGAAAGGGGGTGGAAGGATTTCCAGGCAGAGGCAAGAGGTTTTGTGATATCATTTTATAGTACTTATGACCTTTTTAGATGCTTATATAATTAGGTACTAGTCTATGAGCAAGACAGTTTATAGAGCTATGTTACTGAAAAGATGCATATAAATTACATTTTTATAAATGAATTCCTGAATTCCTGCAGGCTTACATTATACTCACTGTGCTATATCATCTGCATTTGATTGATGTTCAGTTACTTCAATTACTGCTAGATTGATCTTTCTAAAGCACAACTTTGATGATGCTTTTTTCTGCTCAGGAATCTTTACCAGCTCCCCAGTTCCCCAATAAAATCCAGACTTCTTAGCCTCATGATCAGGCCCTCCCCAGCTGACCCTAGTCTCAATATTCCACTTCAACTTTACTCCTTTCTCTGAAGTACTTTGTGTTAGCCAACATAACTTCTAGATGATCATGGTGCTTTCTCCTTTGCCTACCTTTACTTGCATTGTTTCTCTGTCCTTACAATCTGTTTACCTTCTTCTTAGACTTCCCAAATCCCAGGTATATATTCAGGCCCATTTCAGATGTTAACATTTGATCTCGGTGTCTTCTCTGATCACCTTGGCTGAAGTCATTTCTTTTTCTTCTGACTTCTTATGGCATTTTAATTTTTACTGATCTTTAGGTACTTTTCCCTTCTTGCTTTTAAAAAATTTATTCTTTTTAATTGACATCATAATTGTATACATTTATGGGGTAGAATGTTTTGAATGTGATGTTTTGATAAACATGCACACAGCATGGAGTTATTAAATCAACCTAATTAACATATCTATCACTTCACTTATTTTTTGTGGCAAGATAATTAAAATGTACTTTCTTTATTATTTTTATATTTATTTTATTTTGAGATGGAGTCTTGCTCTGTCGCCCACACTGGAGTGCAATGGTGCAATCTCGGCTCACTGCAACCTCTGCCTCGCAGGTTCATTCTCCCACCTCAGCCTCCCGAGTAACTGGGATTCTGGCACTCACCACCACACCCAGCTAATTTTTGTGTTTTTAGTAGCGATGGGGGTTTCACCATGTTTCCCAGGCTGTTCTTGAACTCCTGAACTCAGGCAGCCTACTCACCTTGGCCTCCCAAAGTGCTAGGATTACAGGCATGAGCCACAGTGCTTGGCCACTTTCTTAATTATTTTATTTTATTTTTTTGAGACAGAGTCTTGCTGTTGTTGCCCAGGCTGGAGTGCAGTGGCGTGATCTCTGCTTACTGCAACTTCTGCCTCCTGGGTTCCAGCAATCCTCCTGCCTCAGTCTCCGAGTAGCAGAGATTACAGATGCCTGCCACTGTACCCAGCTAATTTTTGTATCTTTAGTAGAGATAGGGTTTTGCCGTGTTGGCCAGGCTGGACTAGAACTCCTGACCTTAGGTGATCCATCTGCCTTGGCCTCCCAAAGTGCTGGGGTTACAGGCGTGAGCCACTGCGCTCGGCCTCTTAATTATTTTTAAATGTGCAATATATTATTATTGACTGTAGTTACCATGTTGTGCAGTAGAACTCAAAGCATTCCTCTTGTCTACCCTTTAACCAGGCAGCTCTCCATTCCTTCCTTTCTGTTCCTCCCAGCCTCTGGTAATCGTCATTCTACTCTCTACTTCTATGAGTTTGACTTTTTAAGATTCTACATATAAGTAAGATTGTGTAGTATTTGTCTTTTTTTCTTCAAATGCCTGAGGGAGGTAAGCAAGGCTGCCCAGCTCTCAGCAGTCCTGATGATGATTTTCAAGGGCTGTCTTGGCCTCCAGCCCTGGCTGAAGAGAAAAACAATCCCATATGTCCCTGTGGGAGAGAGATCCTCTGTCTTTCTGTGCCTCAGTCATTTTGCTTAACATAATATCCCCTAGACTTCTCCACATTGTTGCAAATGACAGGACTTCCTTCTAAAAAAGGCTGAATAGTATTCCATTGTGTATATATAACACGTTTTTTATCCATTCATCTGTTGATGGGCACCAAGGTTGTTTCCACATCTTGGCTGTTGTGAGGAATGTTGCAGTGAACATGGGCATGCAGATCTCGTTCTCACGTATTGATGTTGGTTCCTCTGGATGTGTACCCAGGAGTGGGATTGCTGATGCTGAATTATATAGTAGTGATACTTTTAGATTTTTTGAGGAACCTCCATACCTGTTTTTTGTAATAGCTGTACTAATTTACATCCCCTCCAACAGTATACAAGTGTTCCCTTTCTTTGCATTCCCACTAACGCTTATCTTTCATCTTTTTGATAACAGCCGTTCTAACAGGTGTGAGGTGACATCTCATAGTGATTTTAATTTTCATTTCTCTGATGACTAGTGATGTTGAACATTGTTTTCATGAACTGGTTGGCTATTTGTATGTCTTTGTAGAAATGTCCGTTCAGGTCATTCACTTTTTTTTTTTTTTTTGAGACAGAATCTTGCTCTGTTGCCCAGGCTGGAATGCAGTGGTGTGATTTCAGCTCACAACCTCTGCCTTCCAGGTTCAAGCAATTCTCCTGCCTCAGCCTCCCAAAGAGGTGGGACTACAGGTGCATGCCACCACGCCCAGCTAATATTTTTTATTTTTAGTAGAGACGGGGTTTCACCATGTTAGCCAGCATAGTCTCGATCTCCTGACCTTGTGATCTGCCTGCCTCGGCCTCCCAAAGTGCTGGGATTACAGTCATGAGCCACCACACCTGGCCAATTCACTCATTTTTTGATCAGGTTATTTGTTTTCTTGCTATTGAGTTGTTTGAGTTTCTTACATATTTTGGATATTAATCCCTTATCAGATAAATGGTTTGTAAATATGTTCTTCTCTGTGAGTTGTCCCTTCACCTTGTTAAACTGTTTCTGTTGTTCTGCAGAAGTTTTTCAGGTGATGCCATCCCACTTGTTTGTTTTTGCTTTTGTTGCTTGTGCCTCTGGGATCATATCCAGAAAATCATTGCCCAGTCTAATGTCATGGAGCTTACCCCCTATATTTTCTTCTAGTAGTTTTATAATTTCAGATCTTATATTTAAGCCTTTAATCCATTTGGAGTTGATTTTTATATATGGTATGAGATGAAGATCCAATTTAATTCTTCTGCCTGTGGAGATTCAGTTTTTCTAGCGCCATTTATTAAAAAGGTTGTCTATTTGCCACTGGGTGTTCTTGGTACCTTTGTCAAAAAATAATCAGTTGAATGTGTGGGTTTCTGGGATTTCTACCCTGTTCCATTGGTCAATGTGTCTATCTTTATGCCAGTACCATGCTGTTTTGATTATGATAGCCTTAAAGTATATAGTCATACAGCATATAACAACATTTTGGTCAATGATGGATCACATATACAGTGGTGGTCCCATATGATTATAATGGAGTTAAAGAATTCCTGTTGCCTAGTGACATTGTAGGTGTTGTAATATTGTAAGGCAACACATTACTTAGGTGTTTGTGGTGGTGCTATTGTAAACAAACCTACTGTACATCCAGTGGTATAAAAGTGTAGGACATATACTTGTGTAAAGTACATAATACTAGGTAGTGAAAATAAGCAATCATGTTATTGGTTTATATATTTACTAGTTTATATGTCTAGTTTGTTTGTTTGTTTTTGAGACAGTCTCCCTCTGTTGCCCAGGCTAGAGTACAGTGGCTTCATCATAGCTTACTCTGCAGCCTTGAATGCCTGGATTCGAGTGATCCTCCTGCTTCAGCCTTCTGAGTAGCTGGGACTACTGGTGTGTGCCACAACCTGGCTAATTTTAATTTTTTTGTGTGTGTGTGGAGACAAGTTCTCACTGTATGGGCCAGGAAGCTCTTGAACTCCTGGGCTCAAGTGATCCTCCTGCCTTGGCCTCCCAAAGTGTTGGGATTATAGACGTGATCCATCACCCAGCCTATATTATACTCTTTGTTATTTTAGAGTCTACTCCTTTCACTTATTAAAAACAAGTTGACTGGGCATGGTGGCTCACACCTGTAATCCCAGCACTTTGGGAGGCCAAGGCAGAGGGGTCACAAGGTCAGGAGTTTGAGACCAGCCTGGCCAACATGAAACCCTGTCTCTACTGAGGATATAAAAAATTAGCCAGGCATTGTGGCGCATGCCTGTAATCCCAGCTACTCAGTAGGCTGAGGCAGGAGAATTGCTTGAACTTGAGAGGTGGAGGTTGCAGTGAGCCGAGATCACGCCATTACACTCCAGCCTGGGCGACAGGGTGAGACTCCATCTCAACAACAGTAAAAAAAAAAAGGAAAAAGTTAACTGTTAAGCAGCCTCAGGCAGGTCCTTCAGGAGGTATCCGAAAGAAGGCATTTTTATCACAGGAGATGACAGCTCCATGCTTGTTATTGCCTCTGAAGACTTTCCAGAGGAACAAAATTTGGAGGAGGAGGACAGTGATACTGATGATCCTTATCCTGTGAAGACCTAGACTAAGGTGTGTGTATATGTCTTAGTTTTTAACAAGAGAGCTTAAAAAGTGAAAAAATAGATAAAAGAGCTGAAAAACAGCAAAAAGCTTATAGAATAAGGTATAAAGATAGAAAATATTCTTGTACAGCTGAACATTTGTTCGCATTTTAAGCTATGTGTTATTAAAAAGAAGCAAAAAGTTAAAAAAAATGTAAAAAGTTTGTAAAGTAGAAAAGTTATAGCAAGCAAGGTGATGCCAGCCAAATGGCAACATAGAGATCCTCTGGCATCACTCTCTCTACAAAATACAACTAGAAACGATTTAAAAATAAGAATACCACCTTGAATATACCAGAACTTGGAGGAGAAGCTGAGAAAGTCCACAGACTCACAGAATCAAGATAAGCAATGACTGGTAAGAGAAGAGGTCATTTCAGTCTGTGCCACTTCCTTCCCCAAGCTGGCATAATGCCAGTCACAGATAATTTTTCTAGACCTATGGCTTATGGGGTGATAGGAGGGAATAGGAGGTGGACATTCATTCTCCCCACTGGTCTGGAATCTTTGCAAGAAGCCTACTCCAGATCCATTCCATAGGAAGCATTGGAAATGCCAGGAGGATATACCTTCTGGGGTGGATTGGGGGTACACAGGGGCACTGATCACAGTGACTGGTGTGCAGATCTTGGTGGATCTTTAGCTCTCCAATCAGCAGGGACACCCTGTTGAAAAGACTGGCCAGTGCCATAGTGCTGCACGGGGCACAATTCATGGAAAGGCTGGAGTACCTAGCTGCATTTTCCACAAAGCCTAGGCATTTGAATAAAGCCTTCCCCTAACCTAGAAATAACTAAAAGGCTGGGGTTAGGTTCTTGTGCCCATTTAAGTTTTCCCTAGACTAGGAAACAATAACAGGGCAGCAATATAGTTCTGGGGCAAAGTTTTAGTTCTGATCCTCACTACAGGTTCTGCCCAGAATGGGAAACAATGACAAGCCTGCATTTAAGTTCTGATATGAAGAAGTAAAAGTCTAACACCACCAAAGAACACCTGCAAAAACTAGAAGAGGTGGCTTTCTCCTTCAGTGTGCAGGCATCAACATAAAGACACAAGGATTGTGAAAACTCAGGGAAATATGATAACTCCAAAAGATACTATCAGAGCTCTAGCAATGGACCCAGAAGCATTGAAGATCTATGAAATGTCTGATAAAGAATTCAAAATAAGGTGGGCATGGTGGCTCATGCCTGCAATCCCAGCATTTTGGGAGGCTGAGTTGGGCAGATCACTTGAGGTCGGGAGTTTGAGACCAGCTTGGCCAACATGGTGAAACCCTGTTTCTACTAAAAGTATAAAAATTAGCCAGGTGTGATGGTGGGCACCTGTAGTCCCAGCCACTTGGGAGGCTGAGGCAGGAGAGTTGCTTGAACCCATGAAGCGGAGGTTTGAACCCGGGAAGTGGAGGTTGCAGTGAGCTGAGATTGCACCACTGCACACCAGCCTGGGTGATAGAACAAGACTCTTTCTCAAAAAAAAAAAAAAAAAAAAAAAAAAAAGAATTCAGAATAACCCACTCAAGTTCAGGGAGTCTTTTTGTCTGCTGCCATCCATGTAAAATATGACTTGCTTTTCCTTGCCTTCTGCCATGATCGGGAGGGCTCCCCAGCCATGTAGAACTGAGTCCATTAAAGCTCTTTTTCTTGCAGTCTCGGTTGTGTGTTTATCAGCAGTGTGAACAGTGTGAATACTGACTAACACTATAAATTGGTACCAGTAGATTGTGGAGCTGCTGTAGATACTCGAAAATGTGGAAGTGACTTTGGAACTGGGTAATAGGCAGGGTTTGCAACAGTTTGAAGGACTCAGAAGAAGATAGGAAAATGTGGGAAAGTTTGGAATTTCCTAGAGACTTGTTGAATGACTTTGCCCAAAATGCTGAAAGTGATAATGGACAACAAAGTCCAGGCTGAGGTAGTCTCAGATGGAAATGAGGAACTTGTTGGGAACTGGAGCAAAGGTGACTCTTATGTTTTAGAAAAGAGACCAGTGGCATTTTTCTTTCACTTGCTCTAGAGATTTGTGAAACTTTAAACTTGAGAGAGATGATTTAGGATATCAGGTGGAAAAAATTTCTAAGCAGCAAAGCACTTATGTGACTTGGGTGCTGTTAAAGGCATTCAGTTGGATGCAGAGCATTAAAGTTCAGAAAATTTGCAGCCTGACAATGCAATAGAAAAGAAAATCCCATTTTCTAAGGAGAAATTCAAGCTGGCTGCAGAAGTTTGCATAAATAATGAGAAGCTGAATGTTAATCCCCAAGACAATGGGGAAAATGTCTCCAGGGCATGTCAGAGGTCTTCATGGCAGCCCCTCCCATCATAGGCCCAGAGGCCTAGGAGGAAAAATTGGTTTCATGGGCCAGGCCC